TAACGAAAAGTGTATCTCTCGGTACTCAACCACACAATTCAGACCAAGGCAGATTTCGGGACACATCCATTAGTGCGACACGGTGGAGAACGTCGATCTCTAACTTTTTCACGGGTCAGCGGTTACATAAAACAACTAGATATGACCCAGGATTCATAATTCTTACGCCGTGGTTCGGCAATATGGTTTTCTCTGAGAGATCAATTTTTGTTTTCTGATCGCAACGGATTGCACAATCCTTAGATATGTGATGGTGAAGTTGTAAAGATCACCAAATTATTACCCCGGGGGGACTTGTGCTCCAATCCCCCTCACTGCCGCCTAACGTTTGTCGTTCTCAGTGTGATATATGGCAGCCTTTTGATTGGCCGCTCTTCTTTTCTCGAGAATCATATCGTTATGCATTCAATAAAACGAAGCAAAAACGAAAAGACATAATGGAAAGAAGAAATCGGTTTATCGGATGGCGATTATGAATAATTATCAATGGATTTCCATGAGAAGCATGATGAAAAGTACATCGCCAAACCCTATAACCCTAGGCTGTATGGTGGGCATAAGGAAACATTGAGGCAGAATATCTGTTCGGAAATTGAATAAACAAAGGTTATAAAAGCGGGAGAAAAAAGAGAGTGAACTAAATTGTTTGCTAATTCTGCAAATGTTTGAAGAAAAGAAAATTTGAAAGCTGCTTTGGTCATCCCTAAGCTTGTCTTTTTCTTCCTGGATGATTGCTGGGCCTTTGTCTCAGGCCTTCCAATAGCAGCAATGCGAAGATGGATCCGGAGATAAATAGCAAAGTTGAAATACGTTTGGTTTCTTATCGACTGTATAGAAACAAGCAGCCCTAAATCACTCAAGGGGTTGGTTCCTGGAAGTTGAAAATTTGGGAATAAACGTTTGTATGTATTGAAAAATAGTCTCCAAAACATTCACGGCTGAAGTGGACAGACCGCAAAATCGACTCAAATGCGCTAGGGCGGGATGTCAAGAAGTCACGGAAGCTAATGTGCGGTAGAAACGAGCTTTTAGAACGCCAGATGGAATAGGAAATGTAAGGGTGCGAAAACTATGATCCAGTTAGCCAAAACAGAAAAATGGTGATGGAGATGAATTCCATAAATATAAGCAGCTAGAAGGTGGCAGCAAGGCTCATGTGTGGCACACTAGTCTATACATTCGGGAACACGGGTGGAAAAGGTGGTCAACTAGGTTCGGTTGTTTACAACGTCCAGCGCTTCGCTTGGTGGCCTACGTCTATCATTAACGCGGATTGTTATGGCAAATCGTCGTCGTGAACGTTGCAATCACATGAGATGATTATGTAAGCTTCCGTGCCTGATAACAAAATATATCAAGTACGCAACGAAAGAAGATGGATTGCAGAACAAGTAGAATTGTTTACAGAAGGATAAAGAATATAAACGCATGGATTTGAAAAACGGGTGTTTTAGCAAAAACAATTACACTAAAGCTCGTCATTGGATGCATTGGAATCACATGCAGAGATGTGTTGTACTGAATAGTGAGCAAACGTGCATAGACCACCTTAAAATAGAAAAGAGCAACCAAATAGGCGATGGGGTAACTGGAACTGTGTAAAATCCGTCGAAGGATATATTTGTTTCACGGTTAGGCAGGTAGGTTCACTTTAGTAACGCAGAGAGAGTTTGTTCGACGATTGGGACCGGGAATGTTGATGGATGCCTACAAGTGTGAGCGCGTGAAACAATTTCTTGTGCTTCGTGCATGCCCACGATAAAGTACTTTTTAGAAATAGGCAAACTTAGGTCTGGAACTTGTAGTGGTGAGCCACATGGCCATCAGTAAGAAAGGCTTAATGGCGGAGCTTCCTGTTCGTGTGTTCGGTATTCTTGGCCAAAATTGAGGATGATCTATAGGTTAGTTGAGTACACTTGTGCCAGGTGACGGATAATCCGTGTGTGGAGGAAAGGGGGGTTGGAGAATAAGTGGTTATGTGAGCCAGTCAATCTGCATCTCACCCAGCATGTAATGTGCTCTTTAACACTTGAGCTTTCATCTCCAAGTTAGCATGGTTTTCGGCACAAGCTTTCGTGCANCACGAATCTACTTCTTACACGAGGTGAGTGGACAAAATCCGTCGATGCAGGCCAGCCATTGGATATAGTTTATTTGGACTTCTCCAAGGCATTTGATCAAGTAAACCACCAAATTCTACTGCGAAAATTCTACAACTACGGTGTGAGAGCTTTGTTAATCGACTGGATCGAGGAGTTTCTCCGACAAAGAATCATGTCAGTTCGTGTTGGTGATTCATTATATGAGCCTATCACCTCTGTGCAAAGGGTTCCTCAAGGATCCGTACTGGGGCCTCATCTCTTACTTGCATTTATAAACGACCTACCACATGTCCTTGGATCTAATATACTGCTATTTGCGAACGACGCCAAAATCTGGAGAAATGCAACACAGCCAGCACTCCAACAAACGATCGATGCAGCCCACCGATGGTCAGTCGCTAATGGCATTGAGCTTAACGTTTCCAAATGCAAAGTTATATCCATGCAGCACAAGATTCGTTTCTCCTATGTTCTGGGGAACTAAATACTACCGCATGCCACTGACCAAAGGGATTTGAGGGTTACGGTACAGGAAGACGCAGGATGTTCCACGCACTGTGGCAGAGCACCACCCATGGCTCTAAAGCAAGTTGGAATATTTAAACGCTCTTTCGGGCTGTTCGAAACAGCACTGTTCCCACGCTTGCTATCAGCGTTCGTTCGGTTACACACGGAGTACACCGTTGAATGTGGAATCCATGGTTGAACCACAACAACAAGAACGTCCGCAAAGGTTGGCAACAAAATTGGTAAAAGGTTTGTATAACAAGACATACTCCGAAAGACTGCAAATATTGAGAGTCTACTTCGGGGGGGGGGCCTTATCTTGACATACCACATACTTCATCAACCCAACCACCTGTGCCGTTCTTATCTGACTTTATCTCATAACCATCACCTCAGGGGACATCCACGAATATTGAAGAGCCAGAACAGCCACCTTGATTGCCGGCATCACTCGTTTGCAGTCAGTGTGCGACGTATGAAATTCTTTTGCATTCCATGTATTGTATGCTCCTACAGTTGAACTATTTAAATTGCAACTTGATAAAGCATTGGAACACTTAACATTTAGAAATCCGTGAATGAGCATACATGTTATTATTATTATTATTATTTTATCTTTGTAAAGTTATTCAAAAGATTCTGTAAAAATCCTTTCGGGCATGATAAACCTTAGCTTTGTTAAATCCCCCCTAATAAACCTTTGACTTTCACTTTGAACTTCTCATCAGGTTTTCTAATTGTGATGCGCTCCAATCCCAATCAAAATTGTAGCTTACTTTTCTTTGGTCAAACACTGACTTGGATTTCATGACGGATGAAATCAAAATGTACTTTACTAAACACGTTCCGCTTGTGTCCGTAGCATTGCGAATACCGTTCACCCCTATCTTCAACCGGCATTGCACGACTAGGAAAATATCTTTACCTCTAAACTAGAATTAAATGTCNATGTCTTCCCGGTGTGTTGTATCACATTATCTTGGTTTTGGGAAAACAAGGCACTGCCAAACGCCAATTTTCCGACTCCGTGGTTAAACAGCCTAAAATAGGAATGAGATGAGGAAGTGGATGTACAGCTGCGAAATCTAATGGACGATTTCTGCATAAACATTCGCGATACAATGTTTCAGTGGAAAACAAATATCTTCGGCTCGTAACCATTATTTTAAAAATAAAATTGCCAGACAACAACTCATAGCATAAATGAAAACTCCGTTGTACGAATAGTTTGAGTGCGTCTAGGATTTACGGTCTGTTGAACACGAACCAATCCNAAACGATCGAGCGTGTGATCTGCTCTCATTGGATTTAACACCACGGAAAAGATCTCCATCAAATGTTCTGTTATTCAGTTGAAAAACGGTTTCAATTTGAAACAAAGTTGTTTGTCTAATGATTATCCAAAACGCGCAAAGACTGACAACTACTGGCTTATCTCGATTGGAACACTGTTGATCAAGCGTCACATCTCAATCACGAGTAACGAACGGGACAGGCGATTTTGTATGTTTCCCCTAAATCATTTCCATTTTTGGTCGACGGGCATTCAACCGTGCTCGTTCGCAACATCATCATCACCGCCACCACCAACGACAACAAGCATTCACTTTGCATCTGATCACTTCGCTCATTAACGAAGTGAATCGAACCGGCTTATGTACCGGGTCGAACGAATACCACGCCGTGACCGATCGGTTCGATTCGAAAGCAGTTGGCCCTGTTTGTTGCATTTCGTTTTGTCACGCTTGTGCGCATGCGTACACGCACAAAAGTCCGCACACACGCTCGCACTCACGTGTTCACAAAAGACAGAAGCTTTTGTTCAAACCACTTTTCGTGTCGGGACGTTCAAGTCCTGCTCAGGTCAGGCGAACCCCTTGTACTTGAATACAACCTGATATGTGAACACGTGACCCTATATGTCCATTTGGACGACGCCTTGGCAGGTCTCACTTGCGTTTCGAAAATACAGACTTGCCCACATTTGCATCGATCAGTGGTCAAGGAGTTATGCACTCTTAGAATGGACAAGGGTGAAACCACAGACGGAAAGAAAAATGTACTCGGTCGATGAAAACATAGTTTTAAATTATTTGCCTCAATTACTTCGTCTGTTACCGATTGCGAAGTGTGCAGTCGGAAATCGCGTGCATCGCGTCATGGTTCAAAAGGGTTCGTATTGCGTGACGCGAAGAAATCAGCCACCAGGGGGTCAGCGGACATCACTAATGATCAAAGAATACAACCGTCTGTTCTTGTCGAGCGGCAAATAGCCTCTACTAGATGTCTGAATGTTGCATGTCATACTCAGTTTTTCCAAATCTGTGAAAAATGATTTTTCCTGTAAAAATCGCATTGCTTCCATATGGCATTAAAACTGTATTCAGTGCTGAGTCTGTTCACATGTTCGTAGAAGTCCAGAATATGTCCATTTTTCTTTAGTCACTTCTAATCTAATCGATCAATTATTATTTGAGCCTAGTTTGGGGGAAATGTCGTCACAGAGTTGCCTATTCCCATTTGGGATGTCAGAAAAGCGTTGTCTTATCGGTATTCTCCAGAGAACAGTGAATCTTTGTGTTATTGATTGTCGGGTCATTCTACTTTCCACCCTGTTATGGGGTAGACCCCATAATCCAAATATATACATAGGATTGTGGAAAGAATATTCTGGCTATTTACAGCTTTATGATTTTGCGTTTACAAGCAATGATGTTGGTGGTGGCGCAGTGGTTTAGTCGCTGTCACCGGCGTGCTTTGGACCCTATGGTTCGAGGTTCGATCCCCGACACCGCCACCCAACTTTGGTGGTAGGCAGCTCTGCTATCATCCGGTTCAATACCAAGCCCAACGTACCGGGGTTTTATGTGTTTCGCCACTCCAAGTCTTGAGGCTTAGTTTGCCGATTTGCACCACTGAACAACAGGTCCTCGTGACTATGGGATTCGCCCCGTCTGCTGTTCATCACACTTAGGTGTAATAAAAAAAACCGTGAGAAAAGAGTGAAAGTTAGAGTGTATAACACAGTTCAACCATTCTTGTGAGAAAAATATGCGTGAAGGAAGGATCTCACCTGGAGATATTCAACTGAATTGAGCAACTACTGCTAAAGCAGGGGCGGAACGGATGAGACTGGTCCGTGTTCGCGATGTGGTTCTAAAACAAAGCGGAAATCATCCCGTGGTAAAGTTACGTTTTCAGACCGTTATCTCTCCCTCAAAGTTGGAAATAGTAACTAGTATTTCATCCCGTTTACATCAACCTTTGAAACGTATCTCACCGCTATTGCGTTCATCACATTTCGGTTAAAGCTATCCCGGAGCTTTTTTTCAGTGACCCGGAGTTAATGGGTTCCAATCCAATCACTGCCACCCATTTTCCCCAACAATATGCAGCCGCGTAGTCTATAACATGGTATATTCAACCAAAATAAAGGAGATGAAGCATTATTATTAGTATAATAAATATTTTCATCAAAACAAGATTAAGTTTGCACATAGGAAATAATTCGGAGCCATTCTCTTGATTTGACCTTGACATTGCATCCAGTGACGACATCATAATATATCGGCGATTAGGAACGTTTGGTTTACACCCACTGGATGATTTGTTGTGAACAGGTGTTGGATTATCACGCATATTGCAATCTACGTTTTTCATAGCCTTACCATTCATAGATGTGTTCCTGTCGACAGCTGTTTTGTCCTCTTTCTCATGTTCACTCACTCTAAGGAAACTACTGAACGCATATGGATGCCCAGATGTCTATCTAATGAATGCGAAAATTTTCACTCATTTCCTATCCGATTGGTATGCTTACTTCTGTCAGGTATTTGCATCCTAACCATTCTAATTTTACAAACATTCATTTGCATCGATATAGATTCCGTTGTGTATTTATGCGTTTTGGCCCATACCAACGGAGCTGTCCGCAAACGCCATCCCTATTGGTTCACAATCCAATCCATGGAGTATTGGTTCCGTATCCCTGAACAAATGTAAGTCAGTCATCTGGCCAGTTGAGCGTTCTATTTTCGCTACCGAAACGGACAGATCTACATGACTTAGTGTGGGTCGTGCGCAATCCTGTGAATGCTTCCCGTTTGTTCACATACATATATACATACATACGTACATACATACATACATACATACATACATACATACATACATACATACATACATACATACACATACATACATACATACATACATACATACATACATACATACATACATACATACATACATGCATGCATTAAGCACTTTACGTGGAACCTATCCTCTCCTCAGGGGACCTTGGAGGTCTTGAGAATAATGTTCGACTCAAGAATGATGGATACCAAAATCGGATGATTCCATCTTTTTCGTCGACCACACTACCCTGTAGAACTGTGAACGTATTACGACATTAACAATTTTCATTCGTCTACACAATACTTCGGATGAACTGTCATTCATTTTCATCTCTTTGTTCGGGGCACATTGAGCATAGTGATAGTAAAGTGCTGATACGCATCACCTTTCTAGATAATAGGTTTATCGACCAAGTCAAACCAAGTGAAGGAATTGCTTTATACACTCCAAGCGATGGATATTCAACAACCACATAATCACGTGTCAGGAATAAAAAATGCGAAATATAATACAGTAATTGGAAACAGTTAAACGGACATCACCATCACAAAACCAGTGTCGTACCATGGTGTTTATCATTGGTTTGCATTAGCATTTTGCGCCGATTTTCTGCAACAGGTTCATGTTCCGTTTGACGAGATATATATTCTGAAAATATTTTGCACGATAGATCAGTTTTCTCCCTGGCCAATTGAGAAATATGCAGGAAATATGATTATGTTTCGAAAGCGTCACTTAATCGAATATAAAGCGAGTAACATTCGGGCATACGATTAATTTACCAAAAGTCAATTGTTGAAAAATACAGGACTACCGTATTTATGGGCTGTGAGTCAATCGGTAAATCTAACATCATTTATATCCACCTAATCAATTCATGAAGGAGCATCGTGTTTTGTTCTCCTTTTCCGTCCCTGAACACTCTCTTTTCATTTTCAGATCTGAAATTCTGTTCGACTTCTTACTTATTTGTGATTTTTGTCAAGACTGTGTGACGGAACCCATTATTCAGTCTCCTCTGTCCAAAAATGAGGTAGTTGGGGATGAGACGAGTACAACCGCTGAACCGAGTATGCGGGGAAGCAAGACCACGCCGGAGAATTTATGTCGTGGTGCAACCTGTACCACTTCGAGCACAGTGAACAAACCAGTGGGGTTTGTGATTGTGCCAAATACGTTTGACTGGGTCCTTCCACGGATTGGCAGTATCGATGAGTGCTCTAAACTGATGCTCAGACGTAGTCAACGACGAAAGCGGCGCACAAACAGTTGCCGCGAACCGGTTCAGCTTCAAACGGATAACAAAGCGGAGGCACATTCAATGGCTGGTCTGAACTCAAACTCGTTTCACGAATCTGAACAGATTGATTCAGGCGAGACGCGCGGAATTCAAGCGGCAGTCAGTGTACCGTCGCTGGAAGAAGAAAAAGCAGCATTGCAAATATTGAAACAGGAATCTGTTCGATGGGAGGTAAGTAAATTGTCTCATCTCAGTCGACCTAGATGAATTTGTGGATCTAATTTATCAATCCCATTGAATTTATTTCGACTCCTTTGCTAAGGGTTTTTGCTTCAATTCAAATCATTACTCCATTGGATAGTACTATTGTAATTATTCTCATCTGGTTGAAGCTAACGATGTAATTCCATGTATGTCTTTGGTATTTCCGTTCATTTTTCAATGAATTTCGTGGTGTTATCAGGTGGTATGGTGGAAAAAGTAGAAGTCCTTTGAAAATACTTTCAGCCGAATCTGCATGTAATAGCGGAATTCTCGAACTTGACCCGAGCACAATGCGAATCCAGTCAGAACGATTGTGTTCCGATTGCGATAAACCACGAGCAATAGGCGGTGCAGCACTTTCGATCCCGTTTTCAGGAGTTATTGTCACTAGTAGAGTAATCACCACATATTCAGACACTTTCTGTTTGAGCGGATCTCACAGGCCAGTCCTGGAATGATAATGCGGTTCACAATTTTTATCTAGGCTCCGAAAACAGGTGCCAAAAGTTCAAATTTCGTTTTAGCCTCAGTCCGTGTAGGTTTGTTCAGCACTGTAGATTGCACAACAACAAGTTGTGTTCAGAACTGAGTCATGGAACTACATCAATCATCTACCTCGAAGGCATTTTAAGCACGAATTTGGTGGTACAAACTATTGGAAATGAATCACAAATACTTGATTCATTTATCTCCCTCACCAGAGAGTGATGAGATGACGGCTAGAAAAATGGTCAGTTGTTTCATCGGAAGAAAAGTATTTTATTGGTTTTTTGTAGAGGCCCACTTGATTTTCGCATGCGCTGGGCACTGATTATGGTTCTTTTGTGTTGAGTGATCGGACATGCCTCACACGTGAATTGTATCCTATATGCGATGGAATGGTGGTGCAATCGCTGAAAAGGAGTACGGATATTGTTACAGTATTGTGTTTCACACGCAATAACTATTATGAGAAAGAAATGTATTCATGATTCACTCAAGAGCAAGATAGTATCAGGCGTCCCAGATCCGAACAGGTTCATGTTCCTGAAGAAAGCACACCCAGAGCCTTCGGTCACGCCGAAGTGTGGTCTACAAAAACAACAAACCATTGGAGGCCTGAGTTCAGTCCATCACAGGTTGCTACTATTTCGCCTGTTCGCCGAGCTTGGCAATTTGTTTGCAAACGTTTCATCACCCGCTGAAGTGACATAATCAGTGCTACTTCACAAGCACCGATGATTTCACCTCGGCTGGTGATGAAACGTTTGCAAACAAATTACCAAGCTCGATGACCAAGCGAAATAGAATTCAGTTCACCCGGGCTACCGGAACCGATTTTCAATACTTTGTCAACACGTTACTACGTTTAGACGGGGTCAAATATTTAAGGCGCTCAATATAATTCGAGGCCCCATTATGCCTTTGATCACCATCAGAATCAGAAAGGGGTGTGTATGTGCGTGTGTGTGTATACCTCGTACATCTCCTCTTCGTTGGTTTGGAACTAACTGCTTTCACCAACTCCCCTATGGATGAACTGCCAGTAGTTTATCGACCCGGTTGTAGCTGCGGATATTGCTATTTCGTTCTCTCACTTGATAGTGACAGTGAATGAAGCTTCTTCAGTAGAAACTGTTCGAGACATTTGGTCGTAAAGAAGTATTTCTCGAGAAGAGGAACCAAAACCACCTAGCCCAGACCATACTCGGGCTTTCGAGAGCTATCTTATCCTTGTGGAGTTTAATCGACCATCCATATTTGTTTATCCCAACCGGGAATCGATCTACTAACTTTCGATTTGTCACTAACGATCCTCATGCCTGTGAACACTTTAAGCAAATGGCTAAATCAGTT